ACTTTGCCAACAAAGGTCAGTCTAGTCAAAGCTATGGCTTTTCCAGTAGTCATGTGTGGATGTGAGAGTTGGACCATAAAGAAAGCCGAGTGCCGAAGAATTGATGTTTCTGAACTGTGATGTTGGAGAAGACTCTTGAGAGTCCCTTGGACTGCAAGGAGATCCAACCAGTATCTCCTAAAGGAAATCAGTCCTGAATACTTATTGGAAGGACTGATGCTGAAGCTGAAACTCCAATACTTTGGCCACCTGATGTGAAAAACTGACACATTGGAAAAGACCCTGATGCTGGGCAAGACTGAAGGCAGAAAAAGGGGACGACAGAGGATGAGATGGATGGATGGTATCACCGACTCAATGGAAATGAGTTTGAGCAAGCTCTGGGAGTTGGTGATGGACAGGGAAGCCTGGCGTGCTGTAGTCCATAGGGTCGCAGAGTCAGACACAACTGAGAGACTGAACTGAACTGACTGAACCCCAAATATGGTGGTATTTGGGTTCTCTGGGAGGTTATTATGTTTAAACGACATCAGAAAGGTGAGGCCCTCCTGGTGAGATTATTGTCTTTCTAAGAAGAGGAGAGGTGGACTAAAATCATAATTAAGAAAGGCGAAACATTAAAATTTCTAATAAAAACATTGGAAAAATATCTTTATGAATAGGGTAAGAAAGGATTTCTTAAATAAGACAGAAAAGTGCTAACTTACAATGGAGAATATTGATATATTTTACTGCATTAAATTTAAGAACCTCTATTGATCAAAATACACCATCAAGTGAGTATAAAGGCAGCCATTAATGGAGAGATGATGTTTGTAATACATACAACCAACAAAGGATTGCATCTATATATATAGGAAAAAAACAACAAAAAATGCTGAACAAACATTTAGCAAGGAAGGAAAATGTGAATGACCAATGAACATATCAAAGGACCATTAACCTTGGCAACCAAGAATATACAAATCATATTTACATGCATGTACATACAAATCATATTTACATGCATGTTTACATATTAAACAGTGTGACAATTCCAAGAGTCAGTGATAATGTGGAACATTAGGAACTGTCATACCTCAGTGGGAGGATCAACTTGCACAGCCATGATGGAAAAACAAACTTGACACTGCCTAGAAAATTTAGACGCATGTGTACATTTCCTCTATCAGGGCTACTTCCTAGAGAAATTAATGCACGTGTGAACCAGGAGACGTGCACAAAATATGTTCTCTGTGGTATTATTCAGAACCATAAAAAAACTAATCACAACCCAAATATCATCAATACAAGAGAGCTAATTAATGTATATAACAATGAAAATTTACATAGTAATGAAAATAAATGAACCACGGCTCCATTCATCTCTATTGCTAAATGTCACGATCAATGTGGACTGAAAAAAAGGGCAAAGAAGAGCTGTGAAAAGCAGAAACAGACAAAACTGAAGAATATATTATCTTACAAATAAAATTCAGCATAGTGGTTTCCTCTTGGCAGGAATGGGCTAAAAGAATGTGATGGGGGAGGACAACCCAGAGGTCATCATCAGGACTTGGTGGTGGTCTGGTCTTCAGCTGAGGGGTGGGTCGTGCCTGTTCTTCTCATTATTCCCTCATTAGTCTGTACATGTATAGTGTGTATACTGTGTGGCATACATGTGTATCATAAAAATGAAGCCTTGGTAAATCTCAGACTTTCCTTATCAGTCTTTGTACAAAGTCACATTTTAAAAAGCACAGTTAAAACAGCCCCAAATTGTAATTTTCCAAACAAAAATTTTTTAAATGGTAGATTATGAAACAACCTGTAATTCCTTTCTTAGGACGTCCTTTCTCCTGCTGACCATCCAAATGCCATCAACACTCAGAATATTTATTGTTGGCCTGAGGAAACAACTGAGCACTTCAAGGCCTTCAGCCTTAATGGTTTGCCTCCTTGATAAATAATTTCACATTCTCCCCCACTCTGTGGAAGCTCAGGATTCTCCATCAGTGGAGCTCCCACCACAGTCATGGCAAAGTGTGACAATGGCGGTGATCTCAGGGCCCAAAGGCCTCTGCAGGCCTCCATTCTATATTTTCACCCCATGGGCAACGGCTTGAGGAGTCCTGCCCACCAGGGATCAGCTTATGCAGATTTTTATCAGCCACCGTGCATTAAAGCATTACTCTTCCCACAAAATCTCTAGAAGGCAACTCACAGCAGGAACCCTGAAGAGGTATCTAATAACCACTCCAGTTATTTCATGGAATCCTAGAATCCACTAGTCAAAAAATTAAAAAAAGATGTCACACTAGATGACGTGACCAATGTCTCTGTACCAAGGCTCATCACTGTTGGCCAGAAGTGTCTTAGCTTACACACAAGGTGATTTGATAAGAACTCCAGTGAGACGGTTAATTCTTGAGCCTTTCGCTGCTTGGTATCAGCAGCCTGCCCCCACTGACCTCTTTTTTTTTTTTTAAGTTTCTAGCACTGCCTTTTGATTTTGCCAGTTGGGATTTAGGATACAACCCTTGCCACCTATAGCAACCATTTTGGGGTTTACAAATATCACAACCTTTCAAGTTCTAAGAGGTGTGTTCCTTCCCCAATCTCCCTAGTCAGCTTAATTTCATCATCTGATGTTCTCTGCTCCTTCTCCAGTTCCTTCTTTTCTTTCCTCATCATTATAATAAAGGCCAGCAAAACTCCATGCTTCACTTTGCTTATTTGAGTAGCAGGACAAAGTTGGCCTGCTTTCACACAGCACATGAAGAGAAGGTGTCCCTTGGAACATGAGTTCCCAGTTGACAAAAGTGGCTAAGATGACAGAGTATCAGTGTGGGTATTGGGTCACTGGGCAGAGATTCTGTGTGTTCTCTTCTTGAGTGGAGTGAGAGTCTTTCACTACATGGGCTCCAAACTCTAGCTAGATCATTATCCAAGCACATAAGGATTATGGTGCTTGGTGTCTTGGATGCCAGTGTAGAGAAAGAGAATGATATTCCCTTCAGAAGATGAGCTAAAAAATAAAATAAAAAGAAGATGAGCTAACAAAGTTACCTGAGCAAATTTGCACAGGGAAAAGACATGAGTGGTCTTAAAATATCAAGAGTCCCCTAAGATAGCATAATTTTCCTTTCTATTTCAGGAGTGTCAGTACCCCTCTGCAGGATAGTGAAATAGACGCAAATGGAGTGAAAATACCACCACTTTGATCTCATGTCTAGATGTAAACATGGATATAAGGCAACAATACATAGTACTTCTGCCCTCTCTCCTGGGCTCTAAAAAGGATTTGACCTTGTATAGATTAGTTTTGCCAAAAGCAGTAGATCTTTTCAAACAGACTTTTTGCAACTTTGATTCTGTATTTAAAAATGTGGTGCCAACTCTTCTCCATCATTCTCACTTCTGGGATTAAAGCTGAAGATGTGATGATCATGAGAAATGCTCCTGAGCCGACCTGAGAACATGGCAAGGGCTTAATGCTCTCAGAGTCAGGCAATGTGCCCTCAGCTACAGATAACAGCTAATAGGATGCCAGGATCCATTTAACACAAACAAACTAAGAAAGTTCTAAAGAAAATGAGGTAAGGAGGGCAGATAATATCTAATGTCTATTAGGGAATCACTTAGAACTAGGAAGTAGAAAAGACAGAATGTTACTTTTCAATACTGCTTTCATGAGTAATTCTTAGAAACCACAAAATGAGCATTGTGAAAGGTTTGTTTCTGGAAAGGTACAAGGAAGTTTCCAGAAAAACATCTACCTCTGCTTCATTGACTAGGCTAAAACCTTAGACTGTGCAGATCACAACAAACTGTGGAAAATTCTTAAAGAGATGGGAATACCTGACCACCTTCCCTGACCACCTGCATGAGAAACCTGCATGCAGGTCAGGAAGCAACAGTTAGAACTAGACATGAACAACAGACTGGTTCAAAATTGGGAAAGGAGTACGTCAAGGCTGTGTACTGTTACCCTGCTTATTTAACTTATATGCAGAGGACAGCATGAGAAATGCTGGGCCGGATAAAGCACAAGCTAGAATCAAAACTGCCAGGAGAAATATCAATAACCTTAGATATGCAAATGACACCACCCTTACGGCAAAATGCAAAGGAGAACTAAAGAGCCTCTTGATGAAAGTGAAAGAGGAGCATGAAAAAGTTGGCTTAAAACTCAATATTCAAAAAACTAAGATCATGGCATCTGGTCCCATCCCTTCATGGCAAATAGATGGGGAAACAATGGAAAGAGTGACAGACTTTATTTTCTTGGGCTCCAAAATCACTGCAGATGGTGACTGCAGGTGTGAAATTAAAAGACGCTCCTTGGAAGAAAAGTTATGACCAACCTAGACAGCATATTTAAAAAGCAGAGACATTACTTTGTCAACAAAGGTCCATCTAGTCAAAGCTATGGTTTTCCCAGTAGTTGTGTATGGACGTAAGAGTTGGACCATAAAGAAAGCTGAGAGCAGAATTGATGCTTTTGAACTGTAGTACTAGAGGAGACTCTTAAGAGTCCCTTGGACTGCAAGGAGATCAATTCAGTCAATCATAAAGGAAATCAGTCCTGAATACTCATCGGAAGGACTGATGCTGAAGCTGAAACTCCGAAACTTTGGCCACCTGATGAGAACTGACTCATTAGAAAAGGCCCTGATTCTGGGAAAGATTGAAGGCAGGAGGGAGAAGGGGACAGAGGATGGGATGGTTGGATGGCATCACCAACTCAATGGACATGATTTTGAGCAAGCTCCAGGAGCTGGTGAAGGACAGGGAAGTCTGGCACACTGCAGTCAATGGGGTCGCAAAGAATTGGACACGACTGAGCGACTAAACTTAACTGAAGAAGGAGATTTGAAGTAATAGCTTTAAGTACAGTGAGATAAATTTTGTACTCTACCCCTCAAATAAAATAAGGTATATAAGTAATCTGTTTGCATGCTGACCAAGAAGCTCCCCTCTCCCCACCCTCAACCAAAATGAAGAAATGTTAGACTCACGTTGGTGACATATTCGATATCCTTCCACAGGATGCACTCCCTGGGAAAATCAGCCAAGTCTAAGAAGTGATCCACCACCACTTGGCCAATTAGGTCATGACGAGAGAACCTGTCAAAGTCATAGACAGAGAAGTGAAGCTTCCTGGCTGCAAGGTCATTGTAGGGAACTGGAAATAAAAACACTTCATCAAACACCGGGTTCAGGGTCTTTCTGTGAACTTTAGTCTGGTGTTTTGTCTTCCGATCGGGAAGCAAATAGATCTTGACGTAAGGATCTGAAGTCCCAGAAAAGTCCTTGGCGGGCAAGTTGACAGCTTTGTGGATCTTCACTATGAGCTGCTCCAAGTCACAGTCATATTTTAAAATGAAGTTCAGTTTCCCACAGGATTTACTGTTACTCCTTCTCCCGTCATCATTATCCAATGACCTCTGCTTATATAACTCCGGTTTAATTCGACCAATGCCAGTCAACTGTTCCTGTTTTTGAAGTTGTTGGATATTGAAGTCTGGGTTTGACAAGTTGAGTTGTCTTCGGATTGAATTGTGCCTTGAATGAAGAGCAAGAGAGAACAAAGTTATAACCTCATTAGCTCTGGGTCTTTCACAAACCTGTGCCTGGGATGTAGGTAGACTGCTACATACTATTAAAAGTTTAGATCTGTAGGCATTTTTTAAATCTAAATTCAAAATGCTTATCAATGTGAGTAAGCTGTTCCCCAAGGCTTGAAGCTCAAAACTGAGGCCTGGGCATCTGGAAGTGATCTTACTAACATGTGACCTTGGAGCTTGGAGGGTTTAATGCTCTTTCTAAACTGTCTAATATGACATTAGAGAAGCTTATTCAGCTGGTGGGAGGTAAAGATTTGTACAAACTGGTTTAGAAAATAAAATTATTCTCCTTAATATATAGTATGGTCCTGAAACAGAAATAGTTAGCTATGTGGTATCTTAAAAAGAATGGATATTTTTCTAAATTATATAGAATTTCGTGGCACTGGTTTTTAGCCTACTAAGGATTCACATTCTTATGGGATAAATCAAATCATTTCATCACAAGAACATAGTCTTTGCTCTTCTGGAAATGTATGTGACAGGATGCATCTGTTTGTAGGGGATTTTGTTGACTCTGAAAGATCCAAGTGCCAGCTCCATGACTGTGCTTCCATTGTACCACGTGGGTGATAAGTGATGAGGAGGGAGGGTTTTATTTCTATAATAAACACTATAATTTTTATGAGACATAAAAATTAAAGGTAAGCTATTATAAATCTATATATGGATTCAGTTAGAGAAGGTTGGACACTGGTATTACAAACTAAATTTTTGCTATCAGAATCTATACTTCACCCTATAAGCTTGCTGGCTTGGGTCAAAAGTTTTCCTGAAAATCTCTTTGCCATATGTATGGGTCCTCACAAACTGAGAGTAGTCATTACATAGAAAGTTGTCTTTAAGGTTAGTTTTGTTCATTTTAGTTCATAGCTACTGTATTTTGTCTCGCAATCACCTTAATTAAAATAGCTCCTCTCCACCAGAAGGTGAAAGGGGAACAGTCAAACTGTCTCTGAGAGGTTAGTAAATAGTTGAAGAGACAGAGTAAACATTGGAGTTTGCCTTCTTTTCCTTTCTTAAGACTACTTTATGAAATGAAGGTGCAAATACAGGATTAATAGGTCCTGAAATATATTTGAAATTATTCTCTCTTGTCATACAGACGCTATGATGCTAAACATTTCTCTTCATCCTAAAATACCCTCCTGATTACTAATCACTCACACGATACAACAAAGGCACAATCACAGAGCTGTCACTTGCACCTGTCACAGCCAACAGTCTACACTCAGCCATACACATTCCCACATGTGCAAAAACCGTGTGGCCTGAATGCTTCTCTTGTGGAATTTTAATTTCTTACAAAGAAATCCACTCACCATCTTAAGTTTTCTCTGTATCTTTTGATTTTTCAAGGAAGGAAGGGGAGAGTCGGGGGAACAATGATAAAGCTCTCTGTGCTCCCACCCAGGTCAGTCCCTGTCTAGATGTTGAACCTTTGCAGTGCTAGACTACAGAGTTTTAATCCTGCTCTACTGGGATTTCTGGGCAGAAAGGCTCCCAGGGAGCAGCAAGACTCAATCTCTATGCAAGGGTCATAAGTGGCTGGAACCAGCTTTGGTTTCCTCTGCTGGTGATTTTTCTCTCCAAGCTGGTTTCAAACAAGGGCCCTACTTGAGGGCCCTTTTTTTACCACCTATGATGGTTACCACCTATGATGGGCAATTCTGGGCGCTATCCAGTTAGTCAGTGGTGCAGTTTAAATACTAAAAGTGCATCTTCAAGACCTACTAGATGTGCCATCTTGGCACCAATGTCTATGATGGAACATGGGTCCTGTGTCTACACCAGAGCAACCCCTGCCACCCTGCTGCCACTTTTCTCCTGAGGTGGTTGCCTGAGCAGACTCTCTGTGCCTAACAACTTAACTGCGAGGTTTTTGAGTCATGGCTTTGGACTCCTCACAGCAGCATTTTGTCTTATCTCTCATCTGCAAGACTAAACCTGCCATGTACATTTTAATTTAAAATATATAAACTTGGCTGCTTGGCAATGGAACATATTCTGTTTTACTCTCACATTTTCTTAGACATGAAATCTGGAGAGAAATAAATCCTAAGTGTTCTGCTCTTCTAACCAGAATGGATTGCCACGGGGTGGAGGGGATGGGCTAGGGAAGGAAGGTATTATGCAGAGATTTGTACTTCAAAGATCAAAGTAGGAGCCCATTACCTCAGAATCCAACTGCACAGGAGGACTTCATTCCAAATTCCAAGAGAGCTGAAGATTGTTTTTAAAAATCAAGCACAGGTATGAATACTACTGTCTACCCAAATATTTTACGCAACTAGTTTCAGTCTCAACCTTTTTCCTCCTATTCAGGATCACACATACTATTGGGAAACCAGCTGAATCCAACTGTAAGGAAGTGGCTTAAAGCAGATGGCAAAGACTGTAACAGGCCATGACAGTGCTCACTCCCTGGGGTTTCTTTCACTTCCAATTTCCCTCAGGAAAGAGTGAGTGGTGACTGGAGTTGGGGGCATGGACCAGCAAAGCTCAGAGCAGCCAGAGAACCAGGGTAACCCATCACCCTGCTGCCTAAAGTCGGCAGCTAGAAAGGAGAGCAGGGAGGCTTCCCCCAGGGACACAAAGGAGAAGATGAGGTGGAGGAACTGGAAAATCAATATTCCACAGTTTCCATGGGCTACTTAAACAGAGGCAGGAGGAAAAAGCAAATCAAAAGCAGAAAAGAGTAAAGATAAAGAGCAGAATGTTGTGACCTGAGCTCCCCTTGAGATGAAGGGTCTCAAACAGTCAGTGGAGGTGGGCCATAGTAAAATAGAGCCCCCTCCCCAGGGTGAGGATCTGGAATTCCGCCTAGGGACGCAGAATGAGTGCAGCAAGGAGGGATGTGTGTCTGAAGCAGACAGTCCTCTGAGTAGGTCTGGGGAGTCCTGTATTTTGATGTTTTCAGCACTTAATATGCACAATGAATGGAAGGAAAGATGGGCCCCAATGAGGGTGGCCAAGAAGGAAAGCTGAGAAATGGTGTCTTCGGTAAATAAGTCACCCTAATGTTGACTGAGAGGAGCTGGCCCCAGGGCTGGAGCTCTCAGCTTCCTCCACCTCTTGCCCCACTCAAGGTGGGCAGAAGCCATTTTCCTGTTGTGAAACAGGCAAGGAAGAGGACGTCACCATTGGACTTGGCTGTCCCAGACCTGAGCCAGAAGACTGGTGGCTGAGCCTGGAGAAAGTGCAATTTCCAAGTTGACCAACCAAATCTGCAAAGCTGATTTCCTACAAGTTCAAAAACACACTTTCAGGCCTGAAGGAATGTGAGCCTGTGCTGATATGAGCCAAGGGTAAGGATAGGTAGGTAGGTGCCTACACACAAAAGGATCCCCCCTTTCCTTCCATCAAATTTGAATTAACCAGTTCCAGCATCCCACTCTGAGTCTCCAAATAAAGTCTCAGTCACCCAAAAAGCCAGCCACCTCAACTGGATCTTTTTTTTTTCATTTATTTTTATTAGTTGGAGACTAATTACTTTACAATATCGTAGTGTCCACTGGATCTTAAGAAAGAGGACATTACTACAGTTCAACAAATTTGAATGTGCGAAGTAAGAGGTCAGGTAGGGACGAAGGGAGAGAGAGGCAAAGCCTTGTTACTGCCTTTCAGGAAATGCATGGCCAAGGGTGAAGAGAGAGTTGTACGCTAACGTACGTCAGGGCAGAGGGGATAAGAACTGACTGGATGTTAGGGAGAGGGATAAAGAAAGGACTCTGACTTGGGAAACTGTCACGGTACTTGGAGACCGTACTTGAGCTGAGCCTGCCTACTTGACCTGGCCTCTCACTTCTCAGCCTCCCCGCTGATGCTCTAGACCTCAATGGGGAAATTAAGTTTTCCTCTTGGGGCCCAGCTCTTCAGCACGAAGGGACCTTCAGCTCTTCTGCCCCAGCGGCTTTCTCCTCACACTTGCCCACATCTTCCATTCCAGGTTTTGTGTTAAGAACCAGAGTTCAGAATTTCCCTTCCATTGCTGGGTTTCCCATGCAACCACAGACAAGAGTATACTCTTTCATCCTCCCTCATCTCAGGGACCACATCGCAGAGAGGAAACTTGGCTTATCCCTTCCCTGGTTTGGAATACTAGTGTTTTAAGGCTTTGGGGTCCAAAGACAGGAAAGAAAGAAGCAAATAGTGACTTCAGAATCATCATGGGTTTCTTTACAAAGTTCAAATCAAGACAATTTGGAAACAGGAAACTGACCTTCCTGGAATCTTCCCTTGTGAAGGAGAGGGGAGGGTTGGGTTGTTCTGAATCACAAATGGACACAGAAGAAGGGGGAGTAGTAGACAAATAGACACAGTTAACTGACTACAACGGCAGGAGGAAATGGGATTCAGAGGCTTACAGAATGAGTGAGATAAGGGAGATGCAGGTATCTGGCCTTGGAGGGTGGAGGTGTGGGCTCAAATGCTGCTGCTTACATGAAGCCTGTCTTGCTCCCCCCACCCTCAGTAAAGTTAAAAAGGCTGAAACCTTGGTGTCATCTTCAAATATTTTATTGTTACTAAAATGAGCTTATGTCCACCAACACTTTCTCTATAAAGTGTTCGCGTGTCTAGAGTAAATATATACATGCCATGGACATAATAGTTCCTGATAATTATCCCAGTAGAGAAAACACACATTTATATCTCGTTTCAGGGTCTCATGGAAGTTGAGAGAGGTCTAGGCAACTTTTATTTTTGAAGATGTCAGTTTATTAAAATCTGAAGACATAACTAAAAGACTAATTCAAAACATTATGTTTTAAATGTTTACATCTAATCAATGTTCTCAACATAAAAAAAAAATATATATATATATATATATATATATATATATATATATATAGCTTAATAAGCCTGTGTTACACCTGGAGTAATTAGAACATTTAATCCTAATGTACCACTTAATGGAGTTGTGGCCAGTAATGACATTTAGAGGACTCAAATTGTCTTCTTTCAATTCTGCCAGAGTATTTCTGTGACTCTACAGATTACTTAGTTCACAGACAAGTTCAAAAGTCTCTGAACTTACTTTTTGACAAATTCAAAAGAAAGGCTCTGAATGAATGTGAGACCTGGGACAAGTCACCTTCCATTGGTTTCATATCATTACAGGCTCCACTCGGTTTATACTTTTAGTGCTTTGTCATCAGAACACAAGAAAAATGGCCTGATATTGATGAATGCACTTTGTCAGTCATTCACGAAAAATTCCACTATGTGTGAGAGGCTGCACTAGGTGTTAGATACATCAGTTCAGTCGCTCAGTCATGTCCGACTCTTTGTGACATGGACTGCACCATGCCAGGCCTCCCTGTCCAGCACCAACTCCTGGAGTTTGCTCAAACTCATGTCCATTGAGTCAGTGATGCCATCCAAACAAAGATCTCATCCTCTGTTGTCCCCTTCTCCTCCCGACTTCAATCTTTCCCAGCATCGAGTTGGTTCTTCGCATCAGGTGGCCAAAGTATTGGAGTTTCAGCTTCAGCATCAGTCCTTCCAATGAACATTTAGGGCTGATTTCCTCTAGGATGGACTGGTTTGGATCTCCTTGCTCTCCAAGGGACTCTCAAGAGTCTTCTTCAACACCACAGTTCAAAAGCATCAATTCTTCAGCGCTCAGCCTTCTTTATAGTCCAACTCACATCCATACGTGACTACTGGAAAAACCACAGCTTTAACTAGACGGACTTTAGTTGACAAAGTAATGTCTCTGCTTTTTAATATGCTGTCTAGGTTGGTCATAACTTTTCTTCCAAGGAGCAAGCGTCTTTTAATTTCATGGCTGAAGTTACCATCTACAGTGATTTTGGAGCCCCCCAAAATAAAGTTTGTCATTGTTTCCATTGTTTCCCATCTATTTACCATGAAGTGATGGGACTGGATGCCATGATCTTAGTTTTCTGAATGCTGAGTTTTAAACCAACTTTTTCACTCTCCTCTTGCACTTTCATCAAGAGGCTCTTCAGTTCTTCTTCATTTTCTGCCATAAGGGTGGTATCATCTGCATATCCAAGGTTATTGATATTTCTCCTGGAAATCTTGATTCCAGCTTGTGCTTCATACAGCCCAGCGTTACTCATGATGTACTCTGCATATAAGTTAAATAAGCAGCATGACAATGTACAGCCTTGATGTACTCCTTTCCTGATTTGGAACCAGTCTGTTGTTCCATATCCAGTTCTAATTGTTGCTTCCTGACCTACATAAGGAGATGCAAAGCAGATCTGGTCTTTGAACTCACCGAATTCATAGTCTAGAGTAGGATATAGATAATAAACAAACAATTGCATAGTTAGAAATAGATTTTAATCCTGTGAGGAAGTGAAAGTAAGGCAACTTGTAGGAGAATAAAGAGTGGGAAGAAGTGGAGGAAAGAATATGTAATTCAGACAGGTGGTCAGGGAACTCCCTGTAGCTCAGATGGTAAAGAATCTGCCTGCAATGCAGAAGACTTGGGCTTGATCCCTGGGTCAGGAAGATCCCCTGGAGAGGGGAATGACAACCCACTCTAGTATTCTTGCCTGGAGAATTTCAAGGACCATGGAGTTGCAAAGAGTCGGACACAACTGAGCAACTTTCATTCATTCAGGGAAACTTCTGAGGAGGTGACATCTAAGGTGGAACATTAAGGCTGCAAATGAGCTGGCATGGTAAAGAAAACAGAGAAGCATTCCAAGCTGATAGGATAGCATTTATGAAGGTCCCAGGGCAGGAAAAGGCAGGTATACTGAAGAAAGCAAGAGAGAAGCTAGTGTAGATGGAGATGGAATGTGATGAGCTTTTTCGGGTAGGGTCTCTTAACTGAGTCCAGGCTAGTGGCATCCTCTGGGGTTGTGCCACATGGTGGCCCTGCCTGGAGGTGAGGCCTACAGCTGGTAGCAGGAGACTGTAGCAGTACAACACAGGGCCTTAACAGACCTGATAAGAAGTTTTTGGTGTGGAAATTGAAATTTTTATAAAACGGAAGTGTTATAAAAGAAATCTGAGAAGACTTAAAACAGATTGGACTTTCAGCTTGGGTCATGAATCAGGAAATGGGTTAGATGGTTTTTCAAGGATCCTTCTATTTTGAGGACTCAGGGATTTTCATATATTTGGAGTAGAGACCTTTAAAATGTTCTGGTACTGAAAAGGTCTAAAAAAAAAAATCTACTTTCCCAGGATATTAGGTCATTATACAAAAGGGATTTCATCCAAATTGAAAGGAATTAGCACGAATTTTGGAGGGTCTAACAGTAACTGAGCCAACCAGAAACAGAAGGCAAACATGCCTGCTCTTGGAAGAACAATCGAAAGTCATCCTGACCAGAAATATTCTTAGAAGATGCAGCAAAATTCATTGTTAGGATGTACCCAAAGGCAGTGGTGGGAGCCATATATATCTAAGCTGAAGGGGCCAGGTGACAGTAGGATTTCCAAAGCAAATGCCATGGCAGAAGTTGTGCCAGTCTCTGTGACAAGTGGGGAGGCCTTAACTGGGAGTCCAAGCGTTGCATGTTCTGAGCTGAGCATGTGTCCAGGGAACTTTGGGACAAATGGTTAACAGCTGCAGGAGGGAAGCAGTAAGAAAGAGACAGCAGTGAGAAAGTAAGGATCATAATGAGAAAGAAGGGAGCAGAAATAATAACTAGCAATGCAGATTGTTTAGAGCCATCTCAGCAAGAGTAACTTCCCCACCCACCGCAAGTATGGAATGAAAAATGCTACTTAAAAAAGGATGTTAAAAATGTTCTGGAGTATCAAGGAAATTTCATTCATTTCCCCCACACTGTCAGTAAAAAGGCTTTGTGTGTGTGTGTGTGTGTGTGTTTATGGCACAACTCTAAAGAATTATAAGACCACATCTTTCTCATTATGGTAAGACCATGAGTCAAAGATACGCATTTCCAGACATAACCCATAGAATCAGGTCAGCAGTAATTTAGATAAGAATGTTTGAAATGCAAAATGATGCAAATTATCATTAGTATTAGGTCAAATGCAGCTGGAAAGAGTTTAGTTGTCATATGGGACTCAAATATTACTAAACAACTTTAGACATCAGAAGAGAGAATTTAATTGCATGACTTCAAAACTAAAATACATCAAAATGTAAATGCAGTGATTCCTTCCCTTGCTCTTTATTTTTGCTTTCCTTCTACCCAGTTTCTATAGGTCAGTGGTAAAGAGATCTACAGTTTTTAGTTTTAAATGGAATATATTTTTTGATATGCAGGTTACATACATATTTTCTAGAATAAACACTAATAATTATAGTGATATGATTGCTATCAATTCTCTAGAATTATGGCAGAGCCCTCGGACCTTTCATCTAATAAAAACACAGTACTGTTACACCATATTGATGGAACCCAGATCAGAGAAATGAACATGCAGAGTAAAACCAAACAGGAGACAATTTCAGTGGAGACTCCATCTGAAGGCCCTACTTACTGAAGCACTGAGAGGACTTTACTATGAGCCTGCACCAATGCTCAAACTCCACGGCAGCATCAGACAGAGCTCTAGTTATATTTCAGTCTTAAATCTGGACAGAAGCCCTAATGATAAAATCTGAAGATTTCTTCTAAACCAAATGGCAAACAACCATCCGTTTCCTCACAGAGGAATATTTTAGATAAAGTTCTTTGATTCAGAATTGGAAATGATGCTAAAATAGGTTTTGGAAAAAATTAAATTACAAACTGTCATATTCCATCCCACTTAATGTGAATGAGCAGAGCCTCTAGGATAAACTTGATTAACATAAAAAGGGTAAAATCTTATTTCTGCTTCTAGAGGACAAATAAAAGAGATTTAAAAAAAAATAACTGCAAACTGTGCTTGTACTTTTCAAATAACAGCACATGCTATTCCTCTAGCTATCACTCAAGCAAATATTTTCATTTTAAAGAAAGTTGCTTTCTTAGTCTCTTTTCCTGAAGCCTTATTGAGAGTGAATTTTATATACAGTGATTCAGAATTGGCTGCTTAGCCTCAAGGCTAGCTTTATGCATCAGAGTCCGGGTAGAGGCAGGGCTCGGTGATGATGATGATAATGACAGCATCACCAAAAACAAAAGAGCAGCTCACAGTGTGCGGAGCAGCCACTAGGTGCAGGTCTGTGCAAGGCATGTGATGTGCATGTCATCATCTCATTCTCAAAACCACCTATCACTGTTCCTCTTACACAAGAGGAAACAGAAACAGATGAAGGTTAAATAATCTGTCCAATATCACATTTGGAGGTCAAGCTAGTTCACTGGACCAAAGAGCCCTTGCTTTTTATCGCCGCGCGGTATTATTTCTCTACAATGCAAAAGCACGAAGATCCAGCCCGTGGAAAGACAGTGACACTAGGCCTAGGTACTCTGTAGTCCTTGAAAAGCCTGGAGACGGACAAAGACCTTCAGCCACCGTGTGGACTCTATGGAGACCCTGTGTGTGACAGCTGGGCTAGGCTAGAGGCACAGGGAATTAATTTCATAGCACTGCAAGAGTAACATAGAAGAGAGGGTAAAAACTTGGGCTCTGGTGGTGTTTGAACAAGGGTTCAAACCTTGTCCTAGGTGCTTACCAATTTATGACTTTGTTTCTTAATTTCCTTAAGTTTTTTCTTCTGTGAGATGAAAATGATAATAGGATCTGTTTCACACAAAGTTGTGAGCAATGAAAAAATAATACAAATAAAATTCTTGGATAGTCCTTAACATGGAAAGTCTTAGCAATGTTAACTACTGTTAATATGAGCTAAGGAGAGATTAAGCAGTGCTCAGGAACCTGACTGGAGTATAGGAAGCATCACGTTTTCCCACATTCATGTCTCTGATACCAAAGGGACATGTGAAAGGTTACAGGCTCTTTGGCTAAATCAATGCCATTGCTGCCAAGAGAAGGAAGCAGGGCAGCGCTTGCCTTGCATCCAGAAAGGAAGGGGGCAGTACTGACCGAGCTGATGAGGTTGGCTCTGTGATTTGGCGTTGCACACGGATGCCATGGGCATAGTTGTCCTGGTCCCCCGTCTGGGTTGAGAGGGGAATGTCGGGGGAGGTGTGACTGATCTTCATGGAGGAGTCTGGACAAGGGGTGGGAGGGTCTAGGAAGCCCTCACTGTTCTCCTGCTCATTGGTCTCTGTGTCCGTGTAGTTAAGAGGCTCCTGGTTGTTGTCTTTGCTACTAGAGAACAGGCCTCGTTCTCGCCACGGAACCCAGCAGAGTTTCCAAGACACGAAGAGAGACACACCAAAGAGAGCGAGGCCACAGGCAGTGACTACAAGGGTCAGCAGGCTCACTGAGATATCTGCAAAGAAGCAAAGATCAAAGGTCAGTGGGATTGCTCCTCCCGTGCCCACCTACTGCAGGGTGTGGGCAGAGCCCTCTCATTCATGCATCCCCCAGGAGTGACGGCGGAAGGCCAGGCCTGGGATACTGCTGAATCACCTGGGATGCATGCTGAATGCCCCTGCTGATTCTGAGGCAGGGACAATCAGGATTCAGACACAAGCATAGAGATGTAACATGCACGCATGTTTAGAAACAAACAGCCTGCGATTGCAAGAGACAGGGTGTGTTCAGAGGACCAGGAATACCCTGCAAGGCAACTGAGACCCTGTCCCCTCAGCAATAAATATCATTGATATTCTGGGAGTAGAGTGGTTTCAACTATCATTAAAAATTCCTCTGTCATCTCAGAGAGCAATATAATTTAGGAGTCATTTAAGTAACATCTTTTTTAAAACAAGAGAAAACTACAGTGCTTTTCCCTCTCTTTTTGATATGAGCTTTTAAGGGTCATTGCTGCATTTTGCAGCTCAAGTCCTCTCAAGCCTCAAGAATACCCACCACTTGGTGGTCAGGTGCCCAGGACCGGGGGACAAGAGTCATAGTTTGGGTTTCTCCAGTAGCAGAGCTGAGACAAGTATTCAAGAGCAAGAGGTTTATTTAGAAGGTGAAGAAAACATAGGTAGGGGAGTAGGGAAGTGACCCAGTTAGAAGAGGGAAGCAATTCAGGGGTGTAAGAAAGTAGCCAGTAAGGCGGGGGGGTGGGGGGCACAGCTTTGTCAAGCCAGCTACCAGAGTGGAGGAACAGAGATTAAACTGCTGCAGAGGGTCCGCAGCCCAGGGGCCTGGGTTGTTTATAACATCAACCCCCTTCAGTCACTGATTTGAGGGCAGCTCTCAAGGGGCATCTGCTATGTGGGTGGCAAAGTAAGTTTCTGTGGCCAGAAAATTTCCACATTTCAAATAATGCAGGGCTGGCCTAGGTCAGTAGGCAGATGCTCAAGGGCCAAAGGAGAGGGGTGGTGAGGGCAACAACAACATCTGCTACACGGAGCACGGCCCCACGGCCTCAGCCACGGTCCAAGGCAGTGCAGCGTCTAGTGGGTGTGCGCCCGACTCCTGGAACAAAGCCCATCGCTCTCCAGGCTTCCACCCCACCCTGTAGGAGAGCCAGGAAGAGGCTCAGGCATCAGCCTGAACTTATTCCTGGCACCGTGCTGCTATAAACTCCTTCCTTAAAGGATACCCCTACCTGCCCTTACTGAGCTATGTTACAGTCTGAGGCCCCAAGGATTCTTCCCAGGTTCTGCCTTTACTGTCCATCATTAATATTTGCATTGCTTCAGCCAAAGCTTTCTTGATGTCCATTAATGCCAGGAACTGTGCTAGGCTTTGGAGACACAATGGAGAACATGATAGACACACTCTAACCTTCATAGACTCCTATTCTAGTGAAAGGGAAAATTAGGAATCAGTTACCTAACAGTCACAATGTCAACAATCCACAGCACGCCAATGATCCATGACATGAGACAGCTGAGGCATGCTTGTGAACCCATCACTTTCCTAAGGAATCAAGCAGACCACCTACTGTCTGTGCACTTTTCAACATGATTCTTAAGGTACTTGATCATTCTTATGAAATGATAAGACAATTTCTTCATGAAAAATTGCCCTTGACAGAAAGCCAGCTGCCAGGGCTGGTGATGGATCTGATGTATCTTCTCTATGCCTCCCAATCAATCTTTGCCCTTGTGGTGAAACATCATATCTCTGTTTGGAAACACAGGGGTTCCAGTTTCAACACTGGTAGTTGAGCTCAAAATCTTTGCTTATCCCATTTCTCTTCAAATATCACTGAATAAGGATAAGCAAACTATATAACTATGGAAAACAAGGACAGATACTCTCTATCTAACACTGAGGAATTTCTGGGATTGTTTTAAACGAAAAACCAATCAGGGCTGAACACTTAACATAAGCCAGTGAAGGACAGGGAAGCCTGGCATGCTGCAGTCCACAGGGTTGCAAAGAGTCGGACACGACTGAGCGACTGAACAACAAAAAAATAACAATGAAGAAATGCTGAGGGAAAAATAAAAATTAAAAAATCTCAGGTGGAGAGCAAAAAAGGCAGGGATGAGGGAAAGGGAAGACAGTTGAGGGGGGCAAAGTAAAGGGCACTAGAAATCGCACACCATGGCGCCGCAAGATGAGGAGGGAGAGAACGTGGTTTGGCCACAGGCTCTACTTGGTTCTGACAGCTCACACAGCAGGATGGAAAATTTGTTGATGAAAACTTCTATGATAGGTGGTAGTACTAGGGGTGTAGGGAAGGCGGAAACCCCTCCCAGTCAATCGGGCTCCCACAGCAAAGATCAACCTCTACCAACTCCAATGAACTCTAAAAATAAAACAATCCCTACAACACAATGAAACCCCTTAAAACATTCTGTAATCCAAACAGAGGCAAAGCCCCTTCTCTGCATCATGTTAAACACTTCAGCACCAACCTGACACACACACCACCAGGAGGATGGCAGAGACTGGATACACTGGAAGGCAGTAAGGTTAGAAGTGTGATGTGATAATTATATATTATCATTTACCAAAGATTCACTCTTCCACACCACAGTGCCCCCACCAACGAGGGAGCATAAATCTCAAATCCTTGACATTGGTCTTGGCTACATGACTCACACTGGTCAATAAAGTATGTGTAGATATGGCCCATGCCACTTTGGAGCAGAGGATTATTGGGCTCCCACCTTCTGCCATGAAAAGAAGGCAGCTGATATTTCAACCTAGGTGCCACAATGGAAGACTTGTGGTGCAGGCCCAGAGTCCAGAATGAAAAGCAAATTTAGCAAAACGATCCATAGATCCATGAGCGAAACTTAAACAGTTGATGTTTTATTTAAGTCACCAGGATTTTGAATGTGTTTGTCCCTACAGCAAAAAGTTGACTAATAAACGAGATCATATAATTTACTGTCCAAGACTAAGATATTTTTAGGAAGGAAAAGAGGTGAAATCAATAATCACATTGACAAGAGACTTTACCCAGGATTGTCTAGGCCTATGGTCACCCTGCATTCAGAATCCTACTTGAGCTCTGAACTCATCCGCTTGGTACAATATGGCCTCTCAGGGTTTACTTGGCATTGACAACATGCTAAATAGAGTAAATCCTAGATCTATTTCCGCTAGTCACCATAGGGCCTGACTCAGCTCAAGAACTGTTTCACCTTGTTAGCTGACTCTCAGCTCATGTACCCCCAAACCACCTTTCTCCCAAGTCCAGTAATGGGAGATCCATGAAAGCAGGGGTTTGTCTGTCCCTCTTAGGGCTGAATCCCAAGCATTTAAAGGGCGCCTGAAACACTGCACACATTCACCGTACGTTTGATGCAGCCCACCAGAGAGTCCTGTGGTCACCTCCAAGTCTACCGTAGGTGAAGGCTGTGTGGCCCGTAAGCTCCAGGGGCCACTAGTCACATTCATAGTTGTTGACAGACGTCTGTGGATCCCAGGTACTACAGAAAATAACTGGCAAACAGCAAGAGGGGCTTTTCCTCATTTGCACAAAGGTGCCCTACAGGTGAGCAAGGGGCCAGAGAGCACCAGGAGAAACCAACAGTGACTTACACAGCCACACCAACCACTAAGTGCAGTCATCAGGACTTCTTGATAGCAAACAGCTCAGGGTACTCTTCACACACTCTACTTGTACTTTTCTCTCTTTTTTCAGAAAGAAGTACTAGAAAGCTGCTTCAGCCTCACTAAGGCCACACATACCACCCGCCTCAGGAAACAAAGAACGAGATCTCATTTAGAACCACAAAATAGCTTTTTTCAGAAAAGGAGTTATTGCGTAAGTAAGGTGGTAGGTACATGGCCATTTGTTTTATTATTGATTTTTAAACTACATGTATTATACACACACACACATATATTCTTTGGCACTGACATATATTTTATAATAAAAATTGAAAAAAGTAAATAGTACCATCAAAAAGTTATTGCTCTAAAGACAATTCTTCTGAAAAACAGAAAAGTGTAATTGGTCCTTCTGTCCAAGAGTCAAGAGAATAACCAGCTGGTGATCCAGGATGAAATGAGGCACATGGTAGGTAATGCAACTGGGATCCAGATCCTCAGAGGTGCTGCTGGTTGGGGGGACTGTGCCTCAGTCTGTACCCAGAGCTGCTGAAGAACACCCCTTCAGAGAAGAGGCAGAGTGGCGTGGCGTACCATCACCTGACCGTCAGAACCCGCTTCTGCAGGCCACTAGCCCTCGCCATAGGACATGAAGTACTGCAGCAACATCCGTGGGCCCTGGACACAAGGTACTGGGACACCCCTAGACCCAGCAGACATCCCAGCCGGACACCTCTGATTCCAAGAGATCCCTGAAAGCCTGAAGACTTGTTCTAGAATGACAAATATTATTGTCCAACGAACACATGGCTAGAGCACCTACACATCACATGGAAAGGAACAGTAGTTGCCCTGCTGAACTGTGAAAGGATGGGAAAAACGTGTAAACTGATGACAACAACAGAATCATAGGACAAAATCAGCAACTTGAAAGAGGCTAACCCAGCAGAGCCATCAGAATAAATGACATCTGACATAAAACAAATCAACGTGAGAGACAAATTAACTCATATATTCAGTGAGATGTTTAAAATTGTGGCCAAGAGAGATAAGTATGGCTGTAGCAGTAACCAGAATCAGACACCCCTGAGATCTCACCTGGTGTAACTATGAGGAGATTGTAGCCCTAGAACTCCATAGCCAGCCACGTTATCACAAGAGGAAAGGCATTTTCAGCCAGCAGTGACTCAGAAAATATGTGATTCATGTACCCTTTCCTGCATACGATCTATGGAATTCTCCAAATACACAAGTAAAATTTTATGTTAGAATAGAGAACCCAAGAAGGGAAGAGCTTTCTAGATAAGACATATACTTAGATACTAGATATCACAAGAATTCGTGATAAGCAAAGAAAAC